TTACACTGCTCACGCGTATCAAATCAGAACGCGGGAAAAATAGAGCCCACGTGTAAATTACTTTATAAATAAGCCGTTGGATACACTGTGTGGATRATATTCGTTGAACGGATCGAGATTCTCTCACACATCGCACCTTATACAGTACGGGAGAAGCTTCCGATGTGCGGTTAGGATGGGCCGGGCCGGGCCGGATTTGGGCCGGGCTTTTACTCATCATTAATGGAAATACGCTAGGCCTGAGCCCGAGCCTGGTCTGACCAACGGGCCTATAACTTGGGCCTAAGTCTGGCCTTGAGAAAAAGCCCGAAGCCTGACCTAATAAAAAAATTACAATATTCTCTATTCAAATTAGAATTAAAAATTCAGATGGTTTTTTTTCTATTTAAATGAACAATGGGACTACAAGATGGTTTTTTCCCTTTCTTTTACGTTTTAAAACATAGTTTTGCATTCTTAAATCAAAAAAATTTATTCAAATGGACATAATCACATAACCCATTTTAAGTCTAATTTTAGGTCGGATCGGGCCGGGCTCGGGCCAGGCTATTTTGACAAAACCCGAGCCCGGCTCGAATTTATTGCGGTCGGGCTTTTTGGCCCGAGTTTAAGCCCGTGGGCCTATAAACATGTTCAAGCCCGTCTGGGGGTCGGGTCGGGCCAGCCCGTCGGGCCACCCGGCCCATGAACAGGTCTAGTTAGGATATGTTGTAAGGTTGGTGTGAGGAGCGAATCCAAACTTCGGCTTCAGTCAGAGCAAAATCCGTTCGTAGCCTTGCATCGGGAATATCTCCGTACTTCTATGCTTTATTTCATGGGGAGATATTCCCAATGCAAGGCTATGATGGCTATTCGAATGGACTTTGATCTGACTGAATCCTGTTTCCCTTATTCGGCGGAGACGAACAATGTTTTTGTTTGAATATTTTAACTTTGGGACCGAACGGATTTTTGGCTTCAGTCCAAGCACCCTTAGTCACGGCACCGTTCGCACATCAAGACGTGCCTCCGAATCGTGTGAAGGGCTGAAGCATGTGAGGATGCTTCACCTCGTTAGTGAGACTCAACGTTAGTGGAGTTGAGCAAAACGACCTCTCCTCTCCTTTCTCTTGAGTATCGTAGAGACATCTCTCCTCCCTCTCTCTCCCCCCATCCGCCCGACAAGGACTTAACAACCATCACCGTCGGCAATAAACAATCATCACTGGCAACTTAACAACCATCACACTTCATTCTGTTCTTGTTAAGTCGCCGTCGGGCAAATGGAGGGAGAGAAAGGGAGGAGAGATGTCTAGTCTGCGACACTCAAGGGAGAGGAGAGGAGCAAAACAAACCTTGTTTTCCTTAACTAACGGCAAGTCTCGTTTTGCTTCAGCCCTTCACACGATTCGGAGGATGCATGGCGTGTCCTCCGAATGCGCGAATGGTACCCTGACTAAGGGTGCTTGGACTGAAGCCGAACTCTTGAAGTACATGTAGGATACGGTATAAGGTTAAAGGGGTTTTTATTGTTCAATCCACTTCAGAAATCTTAATCCCACCGTACAGGTGGAATGAATCCAAATGAGGTTAAATCCATGGGGAGGATGTGGTTTATAGGGGGCTACTAATAGACTAGGAGGGGCTGTAATTTCAAATTTCTGAGCTGAAGTGCAGTCTAGTTATCCCTAGGTTTAATACCTAATACGGTATTAGTACAAATAAGATACAGTATTAGGTTAAATATGGTATTATGCTGAGATATCAAAATGAGAGAGGGAGAAGAAAGTGATGAAGTGGCTTCGTGAGGAAGCAAAGAAGGCTAAAATGAAGAGGGGTTGAGATTTTTCAGTTGGGGTAAGAGAGAAATATGCCACCTCTTCATTTTAGCCTTCTCTCTTACCCTAACCAAGAACTCTTAGCCCCTCTTCATTTTAGCCAAGGTTTTTTAAACCGACTCGGACAACGAACCGAATAAGGGTCTAGTTCTCAGGTCGAACGATCTGACTATTTGAACCAAACGGATGGCCCGTTCTAACAAAAAGAATAAAAATCAGCCAAACCATTGAACGGTTCGAACAGTTTGACCACCCGGGTTAGTGGTTTGTTTACCAATCAACGATTTTGGGATAAAACGGAACCGGTCACCTAACCGGTTTCCGGTTTTCCAATCCGGTCCGATTTTGAAAACCATGATTTTAGCCTTCCTTGCTTCCTCATGAAGACACCTCATCATTCCTTTCTCCCTCTCTCATTTTGACATCTCAGCATGCATGACCCATCCCTCTTTCCTCTATGTTAATCTCTTTATATATCCCTTCCTAAAATCTCTCTACCAAAATCTAATCTAATCTAGCCAAGTGTCACCACTATCCCCAACTTTCTCCTAAATTATCTATAATTCCTATTTATCTTCTAAATTATATATAATTCCTAATTATCTCTAATTTAGTAGAGAGTTTCTCTCCTAAATTATCTTTAATTCTTATTTATCTTACCCCATTTTTCATCTATATCTATCGAAAGAAAGTTTGAATTAAAAATATTCAGAATTATTTAAATATTATGATGAAATTATGTAATGACTTTAAAATATTTACTAAAAACATAAAAAAATTATCATAGATTTAATAATATTCATACTATTAATAATTTTATACTTTTATGAAATACATAACAAAATTATATACTGACGATATAAATTATAGTTTTATGAATTTTTCAAATAATAAAATTTAAAATTTAAAAAATATTATTTAAAATTTTCAATAACTAAATATTATAAATAAAAATATTAAAAGTAGTTAAATATTATATAACAAAATATTTAATATTATATAATAACTTTAAAATAAATAAAATTTAAATAATGAAAAATTTTAAATATTTTATATTTTATTTAAATATTAAATAACGAAATATTTAACATAACTAAATTTTAAATAGTTAAAATAACAAAATTATGTAATAAACTAAAAAATTTTATTAAAAGTAAAAAATCATTATAATCAATTCCATAATAAAAATACACGGAATAGAATGAAAAGATATTTTGTCTCTTTCTCAAAAGCAGAAGGGCTTTGTATAGACACTCTTGAGCCATGTTCGTCGCCCTAGGCTCACCATTATTTCATTTCATTCTATTGATGACCAAAGAACATATACATGGAGCTATGTCGACTTACGTACGTCTCGTTGACCAAACGATCACGTATATCAATAAAGAAATTGTGTAATAATAGTATAACTGATAATTTTATGGATTATGAAATTCAATAAATAAATAATATTGAAATAATTAAACAATTATATTATTTAAAAAGATAAATAATATTGTAAATAATTAATATTAAATATTTTAAATATTAAAAAATTAATAATTAAATCATATTTTAAATATTATTTAAAAACAAATAAATAGATTAAATAAAGAAAATAATAGATTTAATAATATTTGATAAAATATAAATAATTTAATTTTTTTAAATATCATTGAAATAATGAAAAATAAATTAAATAATTTAGTATTGAATCTTTGAAATAACAAAAATAGGTAATAACTTTCAAAAAGTGTCTTCAATAGATATTAATAAATATAATAATAATTACTATATCAATTAATAATTCTAGAAAATAACTTTCAAAAAAATGATATTTATTAATAATAATTTTAAGATCTTAACAGAGTAGTGGATATATAGATAAAGTAAATGAATTTTATGCAATTTAATAAAGTAACGGAGATGAGAGAGAATTAGTGGCATTGGTTATTGAAGGAGAGAGTTAATAGCATAATTAATGAGGAGAGATTATTAAAAGAGTTAATGAAAAAGAAGAGAGAGAGAGGGAATGGTGTTTTAATGAGGAGTGTTAAAACTTAAAAATCTTAAAGGTGATATTAGTCACTTGAGTTATTTTGTTTAATTTTAAAATTAAAAAATTCAGAAAAACTAGAAAAAAGATAAGTGCCTTTGAGAAGAAACCAGAGAGAAGATAAAATGACCTTTAGAATAAACCATAGAGAGGGAAAGTGTCAGCTTGGCACAACAGGTGTCCATAATTCTGCCTCCCTCCTCTCGAACTCTCATCTCTTTCCTTCTTTGATGCTCTCTATGCCTCCCTTTCTCTCCCTCTTTCTCTTGGTTACGAAAGGATTTCAGTTGGACTTAGTGGTGTTAGTGTTTCAGTTGGGCAGCTGGTTGGTATTATTGATTGGGATTTTCTATCAACGATGTGGGTGGGGTTTATTGGTAGGTTTTCTCTTTGTTCTTTTTGTTTTCCTTGTTCCAAGATCTGTTTTTTGGTTGTTTTATTCTCTTTGGAATGCATACTCTCATTCTCCTCTTTGTTCTTCTCAGATTTGTTAGTTCTTCTCTGTTATGGGTTTTTGTTTTTTGGTTGTTTTCTTTTGCTTTTGTTGGTTAATGTGTTAGTTCTTCTCTGTTATGGGTTCTTTTTTTTGGTTGTTTTCTTTTCCTTTTGCTGGTTGGTAAGTGTTGCAGTGGCTTCCTTCTCTGATGGAGATGGCTTTGTATCTAGTGCATGGTAAGGGTTTGCAGTTCGTCTGTTGGTTGTTCCCTTATTGACACTGTGGTTACTGTGATTCATGGTGTCGATGGTGACACACAGTGGTTACTGTGGCTCATGGTGCCGATGGTGACACACACACACGCAGAGAGAGAGAGAGAGAGAAAGTCTGCTCCTCTTCGTTCCTCTCTGAATTGGCGTTGGCATGACAACACCAATGAGAGATTCTTTAAGCTTCTTTGAGGTAAGTCGTATTCCTAAAGTTTTTGCTTTTCTTTTGTCTCTCTTCCAAATGTATATGAGAAACATTCATCTGCTTAGGGATTTTTGTTTTTTCAAATTTTCTACTTATTGGTGCCATGGGGGCCTTCCAAGGTTCCTATCTGAGTTATGATCCCTAATTACACCTCCAATGCATTGAAGTCTATGTGAACCACGACTCTGGTGTTTCAATTTCTACTCGATACCCTCTGTTTTTCGTGCCCAGGGATTCCATTTTCCTGGGATCTGGAGTCAGGGCTCTTTCTTTGAGCTTTATCAATTTATTCTTTCATCTGGACTAACCGTTTTGTGACCTTGTAGAGTTGAGCTAGCAGTGAAGCTACTACTATAATGGATTCTTGTTGTACAACCTTGAATCCCAATGCCCATCCTGTAGAAGTTAGGAAAGGGCTTATTAATGCATACCAAGTTGGCGAAGAGTTTGAGAGCTGATAATGGAGATAGAAAAATCAAAAATGGCATTGCGGACTTCTCTATTCTTTGGGATGTCAATAACGACATTGTGGTAAGTAATGCAGTACATAGCTCATTTCCTTCATCAATAAACTAATTAAATACATGCTTATTTTCTTCATATTTATCACAATTACCCAAAAATTAGGTCACTTTCAAATTCTAGAATAGTTAAATTCTTCATTTTATGTCCAAGTTGAAAATAGAATTGGTATTGATTTTCATGGATCCTTTTCTGGGTTGCAATTTTTTGTGATTCTATATGATTAAATTGCCAAAAAAAAGTGATCAAATTTAAAAGTTCCTTTCTACTCAGATTATTTTATCTGAATATGCTCTCACCCTTTCATTTATGTTTTGACTTCAAAGTGAGACCACCCAAGCACCACTATTTGGGAGGCAGAAGGCAGACCCAAAGAAAGATGTTTATAAGCTGACCATGTGAGACGCACCTCGGAAAGATAGAAGCAGCTGCACTTTAACCCTCCTAAATCAGCACATAGGTACAATCCTGGGTCAAGACCAGTCTAGATACAAAATGTAAGGCCAGGCCTAACAACTTGCCAGGCCAGATGGGATGAGCTTCTCCACCAAGTTTGGGATAACATCTATTAGTTTTAAAATTTTTTTGTCATTTTAAATACAATAGATGGATGCTAATTAAATTTAAATTCATGATATCAGATTTCATAACAGATTTGGATCTAAAGGTTTGGTAATTGGATCTTAGATGGGGATGTAGCTGGATCGAATCTGTTTACATCCTTCCATCGGAGCACTTTCTTCCTGCTGCTTCTTTTCTTCTTGCTTTCAAGGACCCAATAACGTGATAGGTTCGGCTCCAATTTTGAGTGTTTAGTCTGATTTGTCTCTTTAATCATATGGGTTGGTAGCAGTTGGGTGTAAGTTTGTTGTCTACTTGAGGCCTGATGGGCCCTTTCTACCTTAGCAGGTATTACATATTAATTTAAGGGGGATTAAGGGTAATAGGGATTTCATGAAAGTATAAACTCTACATGCACTCTTAAAAGCAGAATGCATCCAATTGCACATTGGGAATATCTCTTTGTGAATTTTATATTAAGGGTGTCAACAGTATTCAAAAATCCAATTTCGAATTCGATATTCGACATAATCGAATCGAATTTGGATAATTCGAATATTTAACCGTCGAATTCGGATATCCTATTCTTACTGAATAGTTAATCGGATTCGAATTTGGATATGACCTGATTCGATTCGATAAATATCCGAATTCGACCGATTATTTAATTCTTATATATAATATATAATATATATAATAGTTAAGTCATATAAATAATTTATATATTTATATACTTTATATCAATAAAATATTTATTTTATATTTATTAATTATCTAAAATAATTAATTAATTGAATTCGAATCAGATATTCGCATATTTAATCGGATTCGAATTCAGATATTAATTTTCAATATCCGTCGGATATCGAATCGAATTCGGATACCGGATTTTCTAATCAAATTTGAATTCGGATATTGCCTGATCCGATTCGAATTTGATCCGTTTACACCCCTATTTTATATACTTTAAAATTTGATTTACCATTTTCAGCATGTTGATACAAATGCTGATAGTACCAGCATGCAGAAATGAAGTTGGTCAGCATGCAGAAATGCTGATGGTACCAGCATGCAAATTTGTGAATTTTATCTCTTTGATGTTTCATCTGGTTTTTCAGAAACGAAGTTCTATCCAACATGCCGCATTAGCTGGATGACCTCTGTGAGCAGTTTAATGGCATGAAAGAGAGGACACGCTGAAATTGGGTTTGACATGTTATTCACAAATAGCAAGGATTTCCTATTTAGTGAAGATATCAACTTGGTCAGACTGGGTGTTCTGCTTGTAGTTGTCTGGTTTGCAATCAACATTGTATTTCAGAAAATGGTTCAATGGTAATCATCTAACTAACTGAGTGAAATTTATCCAATTAATAAGTTAGGTTATTTATTTCACACTCTCTCTTTCTCTCTCTCTCTCTCTCTCTCTATATATATATATATGAATCAATGAAACTCTATCGAGAATGCATGTAGTGGAGTGGAGATGAAAAATTCAAATTGCTTTCTCCTAACCCCTGTTCTAAATTGTTTTTGTTTCGTAGTTTCGTCTGGGTTCTTCTTCAAAAGTCTTGCTGTATCAGTGAATACAAAGTCTTGATTCTACCTTGAGGTTTTGGATTTTCAATTCTAAGTGAGGATTACAATTTAGGCATGTCAAAGTCTTGATTCGTCTGGGTTATTCTTCAAAAGTCGTGCTGTATCAGTGAATACAAAGTCTTGATTCTACCTTGAGGTTTTGGATTTTCAATTCTATGTGAGGATTACAATTTAGGCCCGTCAAAGTTTTATTGTTGCTTTTTTGTTATTTTTCTACTACAGAGGCATGTTTTTATTTTTATTTTTTTTCTTTATTTCCTTCTCTTTTGCTTCTTGCTTGAGGCCTAAACAGGGGCTCTGCCTTTATCTTCTTATTCTTTGTGATGACAGCTAGCTTTTCCACCATTTAGAGAAACATGGAAGGTTCTCTGAGTCGAAAACCCTAGTGCTTTTCAGTCATCTAATGCAAGTTGTGATACTGTGATGTATTGTCATGACAAAGGCATTTGTATGTCAACAATTTCTTATTGGACTAGCAAGTTTAGGCATTTGTATTATGGATTTGTCATTTTGGTATGTTGGGTTTTAGATTCATAGGATGGATGAAGGAGACAAATGCAAGTTATATAAGGATGATGTTTTAACTGTAGATTAATTGAGTCGCAAGTGGAATGTTTTGGTCTTTTAGTACTAGATTTTTATATGTTTCCTCTTCATTCATAATCACATCATGTTTTTAAATTTTTCATTTTGTTATTTTTTGTTTTGGATAATCTATTCTTAAAGTAAGATCTATCCTTTTCTTTGTAGGTTTTGTTTATATCTATAGAGCATATAGATATTTTGTTTACATTATATTTAAGAATTTTGTTTCATATTTGCGGCATTGACAATATCCAATTGTTACTTCATGAAGAGTTCTAATTCAAATGATGGGACTTCACATTGAACCAAGGCACCACCTAATCAACTGAGAAGGCTTCTTTCTCCTTTCCGTCTCTGTGCTTTTTTTTTTTTTTTAATTTATTTTATTTGTTACTCCCTATAATTTGTATAAATTTGAACACCTCTCTTTAGTTTACAAGAATGATGATGAACCTGTCTTTTGAACTTTTCTTTTAACTCTCTCACTCATTATTAGCAATTAAAATGGTGACTCATTATATATCCTCTTTATTATCTTCCCAGACAAATATATACATCTATGTTTTTTGCATGCATCAAAGGGGAACATATTATGATCTTATATGTTGTTACTTATAATAGATAGTCATATACATTAGTTGTTTTTTTGTTTATTTCTCTTTTCTTTATTTCCCGATCCAAATAAAAGAAACATAGAATAGGGAAACCAAAAACTAATAAGCAGAAAGTAATTCTATCAAATGGGGGTGAACAACAAGCAATGTTTAGCCTACCAGAATTCTGCATCCAACTAGGAATTCCTTTGAAAAAAGCAAGAAGATATACAAATGGATGTGTAATAAAAGTAAAAGTCACACCATTGATTATTATATTTTGGTAAATCCATCTCTATACAAATTGTATGGACCTATAGAGTTGGGTTATGTATGCTCTGGTGTAACATATGGATAGATTAGGTTGTGCAGTAGATTTTTTTGATTTAGATTTTAATCCTTAGGCTGGAGATTTAAGATTATTTTTGGCTTTTGCACAAGTAACTTGGTGGTGTATAATAATAATCTAACATCTAATGTTCTGTTAAAACACACGTCATATGTTTCCAAAGTTTGCTACTTTGATCATGATCACATGGGTCATAGTTACAGAAATCTACTTTTGGGTCCTTCAGAATCCTTTAAATAGAGATTTTGAGTTCATTGGAAGGATCAAAATTATCTCCTAATCTAATATTGTAGGACAACCAATCTATTGAAAAGCCTTTTTTTTTAAATGTATACTTGTGATTTCCATTTTGAGTTTGTGGGTTTGTCTTGAGCCAATAAAATATAATTTTGCATGTCTTAAATTCATAATTCAGTAGTTAATCGCGACCCAGGTTTTAGCTTTAGGGTAAATAATTTTAGTTCATGGCATATATAATAATGACATGAGTTCCATGTGCTACAAGTATGTTTTTGTGGGCACGTGAACTATACAATCCAGACCAATGTTTAGTAGCCAAATTTTAGCTTTAGGCAGGATGATGCTGCTACGTTAGCATGTAAGCTATTGGTTTTGTTATTTATGATTTTAGATTAATGGACAATTCCAGACAAAGACAAAGCTACTTGTCTAGACAGAAGGAGCAAGTTGAAAATTATTGGATAATGGTACATTGGTACCACTGCACAATGTGTTGGAACCATATTTAGGGAACATGGGGATCCCACCTTTGATTCTATTCATTTTGTATTTAAATATGCAAGAAAGAGTAAAAATTAGGAAAGTTAATTGAGATTGAGTTTGTCTTTTTATCAATATTTTATATAAGAGTGAAAGAATTTGTAGGGACAGGATAAAAAAGATATAACATCGACCGGGATTTTAATCCTACTACCACAATTTTTTTCCTTATTTTTGTTCTCCCAATCACTCGCCTAGCAAGTAGTAAGCTATTTAATTTAAGCAATCTTCTCAAAGATGTGTCAAGTTAACTAATCACATTTTGCCTCGTAAAATGCAGTCCAATGGCTGTTAGACTCAACTATTAAAATAGGGATGACATATCATTTAGGGAAGACTCCATAATTCCCAGCTCTTAAACTCCTCAAATTCGATGTTTGGGACTGACTCCAAATCTTTTGGAGTCGACCCCAAACTCAGAGAAGCAATACCATCTTGCTCCAAACTGCCTTGGGGATGTCTCCAAATCCAATTAGAGACCACTCCAAATGATACTTAGAAAGATTTTTTCAACCTTTTCACCTTTTAAAGCTTCTCAAATCAAATCTAAAGTCTTCCTAACCAATCTTGAGATCAAATGGGAAAAGTTAAGCCATTTTAATTAATATAACATTAAAACCAGTTATGGAGAATGATTTTAAAACATTCAGGCCCACATAAGTGCAAAAGAATTGTTTAGACAAGAACTTAGGCTCAATTTGGAAAGAGCACTATTTTAAAAAATCATAGTGGACCAGGCGGTCGAACTGTTTCACCCAGGAACAGTTGTGTTTCTGGATCCATTTTTTGGTTGGACCACTTTTTTTTTGGAAAAAAGGGGTTCAGGATAAGGGTAACTTTTCGCCCCTAATATCAAATAAAAATAATACTTTTAATATAATAACTAAAGTAGCATTATGAAAAAATATCAAATAAGGGACTGTAATACAGTCCCCTCTTTAAACCCGTAGATTGTGCGGCAGAGACCTTCAAATGAAAGATATAAGCGACACAGAAAGAAAAAGAGGAGGGTGGTGTGGCAACAAGAACTAAGAGAGAGAGAGAGAGAGATGTTTGACTTTGAAGCTCACCAGATTTTGAATGTCGATGGCACTTGGAAATTTAGCGTAGTTGAAGACATTCCATAAAATATAGTAGTCTTAATTTCAAGCATTGAAAACTTTTCCCCAAATTGTTGAGTTGGGGTCAATATTATGGGGGCGTTCTTTTATCCGATTTTGAGAGGGGAAAAGTTGGTCAATGGGATTTTGGTTCCCATCAACCAAGAATCCCTTGTTCTTTTTTCAGATTTATGTGGGGATTAGGGAAAGTTTATTTTCCTGTATACCATTTATCTGGGTAAGTGATACCCATCTCCTAGGTGGGTAAATAACTTTCCCATCTAAGGGGAAAATTGCCAACACTTGAATGGGAAAAAAATGCCTCTTTTAATAATGGACTTTTATGGCTAAAATGGTCATTGCCTTATTTACATGAGAAATAAAAGAATGTGGATAAATGCATTTACCTAAGTAAGTTTTTCCTGGGAAACACTTACCTGAGTAAGTGCATTTACCCAGATAACTAACTTACCGAAAAGCGAACAAGGACTATGTGTCGATAATTTTAAATACACTATGATGTATTGGCACTAATCAATTGTTTAAGTCGTGCATCCTATAATGATTTAATTCTAGTACAAGCTACTTAATTTATTGCAAATTTTGGTTATCAAGCTCATAAGGAAGTCACGAAATTAATGAGCAAGCCAAAGCATGAAAGTTAAGCAATTTTACACAAGAACTAAGCAATTTGAAAAGAGTACAAATACAAATATATATGTACAGTGCAAATATAGGTTTAGAAATATAAAATTCAGGGCTTGCACAATACATATTTTGTTTATACTCTTACCCTTGGAAACAGTATAAATACAAATATGTACATTCTAAATCTTATATTTACACTGTACATATTTGTATTTGCACTTTTTCCCAAAGTGATTGATGAAAGGAGCAGGGTTAGGTGAGAAGGGGTGGAGCTGTATTAGGAGATCATTGAATTCAAATGGCCACAAAGTCCAGCCAATGGATCTCACATGCAGATCCTAATTCCACCATAATGTGTAATATGTAATTTCAAAAACCTCCCAAAAAACAATGCTTAGGTTAGATTTAGATGGCTATTTTACTTCTATTTCTTTTAACAAAGCCCATACATCCCACATATATTACCCTAGGACAATAAAAGATTCTCAATTTGATGCAAAGATCCCAACACACCACAGGCACCAGCTAATTGAATAGATGCTTCTCACCGGTCTAAGATGGTGACTATCAGCAACCTTGACATGGGTCATGGGTACAAAACCGAGCAACCAGAATAGCCCACCAGACATCATTCTTTTTTATTCTTGTATGAGGGTCCATTGTGTATTAAGGCCTTGTTCGCTTTTCGGTAAATTACTTACCCGAATAAATGCAGTTACTTGGGTAAGTTTTTCCTGTGAAACATTTACTCGGGTAAGTGTATTTACTTATACTCTTTTATTTCTCATGTAAATAAGGCAATGACCATTTTAGTCATAAAAAACCATTATTAAAATGGGCATTTTTGGCCCATTCAAGTATTGGCAACTTTCCCCCTAGGTAAGAAAGTTCTTTACCCACCTAGGAGATGGGTATCACTTACCCAGGTAAGTGGTACCCAAGAAAATAAGTTTTCCCTAGTCCCCACATAAATCCGAAAAAAGAACATGGGATTCTTGGTCAATGGGAATCAAAATCCCACTGACCAACTTTCCCCCCTCTCAAAATCTGAAAAAAGAGCGCCCCCTAAGGCCTTGTTCGCTTTTCGGATAGTTACTTACCCGGGTAAGTGTTTCTCAGGAAAAACTTACCCAGGTAACTGCATTTACCCATGTTTTTTAATTTCTCATGTAAATAAGGTAATGACCATTTTAGTCATATAAATGTATTATTAAAAGGGGCAATTTTGTCTCATTCAAGTGTTGATAACTTCCCCCTAGGTGGGAAAGTTATTTACCCACCTAGAAAATGGATAGGTAAATCTGAAAAAAGAACATGGAAAATCCAATCCTATTGACCAACTTTATCCCCTCTCAAAATCCAAGAAAAGAACATCCCCTAAGAGATATCCATTATGGTGGCATTACAGAGATATCAGCAAACCGGTCTACAATCTCAGTCTAATTCCACTATAATGCATTTCAAAAGTGGTCTCAATCCAAGACGTCGCCATTAAAACAAGAATGAAGTGAGTTGTTAAACAGAAGAGAACAAAACTAGAAAAGCAAAGACCTTAAACATCGATCTCATGTTCCAGGGAATCGCGGAAATATCATAGATTTCAAATTAATCATATGGATAACTTAGTGCCGAAAGGAGTGAGGGAGGGTGTCGCCGGCGGTGTTCAGTTTCCATGGAGTTTGGTGGCTGTAAAAAAGATGGATAGAGACGAAAGAGAGAAAAATAAGAAAGAAGCTACAAAAGAGATAAGAGTGCAGTGGCTGTTTTGTGTTCAGGTCTGGTCCTGGTTGCTGCAACCGAATATGGGGATTGGGGAGAAAGGAGATAGGGTGACAGAAGAGAGAGAGAGAGAGATGGGGAAGGTGCATTACTGTGTTTGGGCCCGAGGTTGAAGACGATGTAGCATCTCACCTCTATGGAATGAGTTGAATGAAAGCCTTGTTGTGTAGCCCCATGAAGCGAAAAAAAAAAAAAAAAGAAACAAAAATGAGAATAAAAT